AAACACGGGCTAAGAAAATGTATAATTTGGTATTAACATAAGAGCTGAAGACACTTTAAATGCACTGTTTCATTTTTATAAGATAAAAATAATTTTAAGAATCAAAATGTTATCAACAGACCTGTCCTTCATTAAAAAGTAAAACTGCATTTTCCTACATTTTATGAAAGTGTCCAATTACAAACAATTTTGAAATGTAACTTTAAAAAATGTAAACAGCAAAAATACTGTATTTAAAATAAATCTGGACAGGCAAAAAATATACATATATACCCAGAAGACAGAGATTTTGGTGAAAGTTAAGATATTTCATCTTTGAACAACTTAGAATCTTTCCTGCATTTTATAGTCTAGTTCCAGGCATTAATCTGAAATAATCTTGAAATCCTAAATCTAACACCCTTCAGAACAAAGTAGCTTTTCTGTTTTGCCTTATGAGCAAATGGACTAAATACTAGGGAATGGTACTGTCTGGGCCTTTGAACCAAGACTGAAAGAGATGAAATCCTATATGATACGTATAAACATTAGAGAATCCATTTTGATTTAATAAAAGGATGAATTTGTTCTATATCCTGTGAGAAAATGGTTCCCTTTTCCTGAAAATGTTGTCTCATTCCAACAATAGAGAGTTGGTTTTTTTTCCAGGGTGTGGTGTCGGGGGTGGACAGAGTTGCCATGCATATGGCATCTATCAAGACTGCTGTTATATTCATTTCTCAAAATGCATTGTAGTAGGAAATTCAGAACGCAATAAGAGAAAATAAATGTTTGACTTCAAAATATAAGGCCACATTTAAAGCAGCAGGTGAAGTATAGAACAGTTAACAGTACAAATTCTTTATCTGCAAGCTTGCAGTTCCCTAAAGCTCTGTAACACATCACTTTTAAAAGCCTCAGAGAAGCAGTTCTATAATAATTTACCAATAATTCAACCCCTCAATAGCCTTAGCAAGTGAAACCTTATAGTCTTACATTTTAGAAATGACCCAACTTGATCCTTTTATTCTTCAGAATATCTCTCTCAAATTTTCATTTGCTTTTCATTAATTGATGAATTATGAGATGTTTTAGGTGCCTGTCCACAAAGAAATGAAATTTTCACTTTCCAGGAACCTAACAAATGAAAAGATAGAAACCAATTCCAACAGAATGTTACCAAAGAAATCTTTTAGAGTCGACTGTTAACATTATTTATTTATATTTATCTGGCTCTACTATTTGTGGTACATTTACACTTCAAAGCTAAACCTCAAATAACATCATAGTGAGTGGTTGACTTCATGTTTAGCTGAGGTCTTGAAGACTGAAAAAGACCATGACAAACGCACATCTATTGTCTTGGCTACTGTATCCGTCTTCATCACCATTCTGATGGTGTGCAATGTATTGCAGCTCACCCTTTGGGAAGGACTAAAGTAGACATCTGTTGGTTCTGCTTGCTCAGCATTCCTACCCTAATTTTCCTTTGGAGAACCCCTTTATTCTAGACCACGTGAAGTTAATGCCAAACCCCATTCCAGGGGATGCACCTGAATCCAACTTCAGTTATCTAAACAGTCCCTTCTCCACGTTCAGAGAAGAGCAAGTGACTCAAACTGCCTTCATAAGGACAGACCTGGGACTTCTGCTGCAAATATTGAAGAATAAGTACTCTTTTTTCTTGCTAGGACTAAGCTGGTAGTACCTTCTAGGAGGCTATCATATGGAAACAACTTGTTTGAAAATAAAGCCACAACTAGAAAACAGATCCTGGTAACCCGGATTGACGGATCCAGCCCTACCTTAAATGGCAGGACCTAACCCGAGGCTTTTTGCATCAACCAAGTAAAGTCCTTAAGCCAATTTGAGTCGGTTTTGTCACTTGCAGCTAAAAGAATTCTGACTCTAACAATGTGACAATAGCAAAAATAAACATGACTGCTTTTGAGGTTTCTAATGGATTTTCCTCCCTAGACACACGATTTCATTTAATCCTCACAATTCAAAAAAGCACATGTCTATTAACATTAAATTAATGTTCATTATTTTGAACACATACTATGTGGACAAGCGATGGGGAAAGCCAAGGGAGCAATCAATGTGAAATCTCACTTATATGGGAGGGAAGTGGAGGTTACATATCTCAGGGCACTTAACAGATATCATCAAATGAAAGAATAAACACTATATGGGAGAGGCAGGAGGTGATTCTTCAATTCCTGGATGAAAAATTAGGAGATAATGAACTCCTAACAATCAGCCTAATGAGAATGGCTCAAGCAACAGGGCATAGAGAGGGAGTTAGGTTAGACATGGGGTTCTTGAGAGTTTTCAGCTCTGGGTGGGTGCAGTTGTTGTCAGTGGGAAAGGGAAAAAGGAAGGGCTGAGTGTGGAAGGCAGGGAGGGAGGAGACAGTGTGAGTCAGTGAAACAGGGCCCTTAGAATGACAAGTCTGGTCCAGAGAGAGGCTAAGACTGGAAATACAAGATGGGTAACCACTGGCATACAGATGGCAGTTCAGACTTGGGCACTGCCCACCAGAGCCTCAGCATGAAGAGAAGAGGGAGAGGCTGGCCACCACCTCCCTCTGAGTAATCGTAATCCTGCTCTGTGAGCTCCTGAAAACAGGCTCTTTCACTCGCCCCATCTCTTGCTCTTGATTGCAATCCGGCATTCAGGAGGTACCCAGTAAATATCTGTGGAGTGACCGACAACGCAGCGCTAGGGCACTGAGAAGACCCCGGGGCACCAGGGGCTGGTTCTACAAGGGTGCCCCTCCCGGTCCCCTCCAGCACGCTGCCAGAGTCGCCAGTCTTGGCCGCTACACGGAATGCTGCCTCATTATTCAGCTCTCACCTCTTAAATTAGTTCATGCTCTCACATTAGGTGTAATCACAGCTGGCAACGCTTTCTGGGGATGTCTCAGAAAGATCTGAGTTGAAAAAATATTTTTGTGTCATATTTATTTAAAGTAAAATTGCTGCTTCCTCCTCGCCCCTTCCTTTCCTCCTGGCCCACCCAGTGACCCCGGCCGTGCTCAACGGAGGCGGCGGTCGGAGGTGAGACTTCCTCTACATAATTCCTTAAACAGCTATCAACTAAGTCTTAAAGAAAAAAAAGAGATCTAGAAGCAGAGACATGGCTGCTGGCGATCCCAAAGCTGGTGTACCCGCGTGGGGGAGAGCGTACCCTGGGGGCGGCCGGCAGGCCGGACTAGAGGCTAGCCCCGAGGCCCAAGGCAGGAGCACTCCGCCGGCGCTCCGCGTCTCTCCAGCTCCCGAGGCTGCGCTGACTCCACTGATCACGCCAGGTTCAAGGTCGCCCAGTGGGGACCGGAGCGCCGGGAGCCGGTGGTAAATGTTCCAGCCGGCCTCTGCCTGGGGTCCGGAGCCGCGTTTCTGCTTTGTACTTGACGGACAGGTCCGCCCGCCCTCCCGCCGCCCGGCTACCAGCCCGCGTTCATCCTGCAGGGCTAAATCTCCCGCACTCGGCCTGTAACACCTGGAGCGCTCCCTTCCTCTCCCCATCTTCGCAGCTCTCCTTTCTCCCTGCCACTTGGCAAAGCTGCATTTTGACTTTCACATTTTTGACTACGTGTGTGTAGTTCCAAGTCCATGCGTGGCACGAAAATCCACTTAGGGTAAAAATTATTCTCGAAAAATCGCCCATCTGGTGTTCTACACTCAAGGCTAGGAGGTGCAGGCACGGGTGCATAAAGCACGCCGTAAGGGTGCACAGTAAATAAAAAGTACAGATGCAAAATGCAAATTTTAAGTGCAAAACAGAAAAGCAGTGCTCGTTGCCGCCCCGCACGCTGGATTTTAAGGGGCACGAAGGCGGGCCTCAGCTGCTTTCGCTTAGCCCCGCGTCCTCAGCGCCTGGCGCAGTACCCGGTACTCCGTACGGGTTCAATGATCTCTCCTGAATAAGTGAACAAATTAAGAAATGAATGAATGACCTCTCGATCCGACCTCCGCGCCTGGCAGAGCAGAGCAGTCGCTGCGGGAGGCGGGAGAGAGCGAGAGGCCAAGCTCCACCGTCGCGGCCGCCTGCTGGAGCAGAGGGACGCGGAGACGCCCGGCG